CTGCTATTATTTGATCAAGCCATTCTCTACTAAAGCAAACATTTATTTTCCACTAACAAGCTGAGTTTTATGAAAATACAGTTAGCTAACAACATCTCCTCTCTTCTTCCCTACTTGTCTAAAAGGAGATTCATAATAGAAGATGTTTATCCACGACACTCAAAAGCTTTCCTTTCCTTTATCATCTTGTCATGCGCCTCATCTTTCATTTCTTTGTCCTTTAAAACTTCTCCCCGTACGGTCCAACTTGTCACACTCTGGCTGCCTCTGACATGCACCGATACTGTCAATGTCGGCGTCACCTTCAGGAAACACAACCTGCTGTATTACAAGCGTCACAGCTCAGTTAATCGTTTCATAAAGAGAACCCAGCTACCATTCAACTTCTTAGTTTAGCTTCTCAGTGTAACAGTAACAGAGAGATGGAAGCATCTACTCAAGAGAGAGGTTTCTGAGCTCTGCAGAAAGGCTGGTACAACTTAGAAAAGCCAAAATTAATTTCCCTCTGTCACTTTTCCCATTTCCATTCTTAAAAATCTTCATGCATGGAACTAAACCCTTCACACGGAAGTCAACCTTCACCGGAACGTTTCATATAATTCCCAGCAGCACCAATTGCTGCATCAATCACATACCAATCATTGATTGATAGACAGAGCATACCATGCTCTGTCAGCCTTGTGGTCCTACACCTACCTTCTGTATGGGACGAACATGATACAGGGTCACTAGTTGATCGGACTATATTTGAAATTCGGTATTTTGTAACGGGATGGTGCCGGACAGCACTCTCGTGGCTGCTTGCGTACGATGAAGTATTTGCAGACCCAAAACAGGGAGAGGTCTGGGAAGGGACAGGAGGCTGGCTAAAGACCGCACAGCAGATTTTCTTTTGTTTCAAAGGCGGCGTGGCATTGCTCTTTTGAGCAGAACACTGCAGTTCTCTTTCCGAGGGGCTGAAATTCTCTGAGGAACAGTCCAAGGACCTGCCACAGGCACAATTCTTTTCTTGTCCTTGAGACCTGTCTGTAGAGGCTTGGCTGTGGGGACTGTCATCCTCATCAGGAAAACCCTCTGAGCGAGTTCTGTGGAACCTGCAGCGGGTGCTGCGGCTCTGGTCCGTAGCCCCTTTGGGGGTTGTACAGTAGGGAGAAAGATCTGCAGAATGGAGAGATCCTTGAACTTCCAGCGAACAAAGATCTTCAGAGGAGCAGCTATGGTCTGGGATATCAACATCTTCTGAGACTATCAAAGAGGTGCTCTCAACAGAAACTGCAAACAAACCAAGAGATTCAGAAAGAAATCAAGACTTCTTGCCCCTCTCCATTCCTCCCCGGCCCCGTTTTCAATATACTGATTTAAATTTAGTAATTGGCAAGTACATCAATAACTACTCAAAAGCTTTCAGATGACAGAATGCCAAAGCAAAAAAGACTGGTCATTTACTTGTTTCTAGTGTCCTTCAGCAAAGAGTTTGTGCTGTCCTCAAGTATTTTCTTCTTCTTTAATTCTATCACTACTGTCAATATTAGCTTTGCACCTAACACTTTGTAATCAATGAACATCTCCCTGAAGCATGTATCTAAGTTCTTTACACATGAGAATTCACCATCGTATAACATCTCTGGCACACAAAATATGTGACACACACACTTCAGATAGAAGCTAAACATTCTATGCAAGGTCACATCATCTTTGAAGCCCTTTGTATTAAAAATCGAGAGTGTTACCGCTTCCTCTGTCATGTCTACAAATACACATTACAGATGAAAAGGACTCCTTGTATGAAAATAAGTATTTGGCTCTGCATTATTCCCACAGTCATGACAAAAATAAAGAAAAGAAAACTAGATGATCCAGTCTCCAGGCTCCAATAATACAGACAACACTTTTCCCATATCAGACTGGAATTCCGTGAAGTTCTACATCTAAAAATCAAAACATTTACAAAATACAAATTACATAATTCTATTCCTTTTTGCGTAACAGCTGTTGCTAATCATATTGATGAGACAAATGTATTTTAACTGTTTTGTTCAGGAATAGAAAAATAGCATCTTTTAGTGAATTGGAGAACGTTTGTTAAGTTCTCCCATGTTTTGGCATCCAGGAAGCAGAAAGCTTTCTACAGTATAGGGAAATTAACTATCAAAATGAAAATCAAATATTCATGAGGTTGGATTTGATGAAGGACATTTTCTTCTTACATAAAATTACTCAAAACAACTATTTTCTTTTGGGGCTTCCAGGAAATAAATTTGTAACACTTACAAAGCAATCATAAGATTGCAAAAAAGGACATAATAATCAATAACGGAAATACATCTATACATCTACATTATGCTAAAAATGCATAATATGCACCGCTTATTATGTGTTAGCGCAAAGCTGCAGTGGTTTATCAGACCATTTATATTTGTGATGAGTCCCCAAACATTTCTTACCCAATTAGATGATTCTTTGCAACATATTCCCTAACTCAGGCTTTGAAATATCTATGAAGTTTGTATAGATAAATGAAAGCATCCAGTTTGTGCCTGTCTTCAGAGAACAGATCTTTGCTGTTCAAATCCTCTCTGGTTTGATTTGATTTAATTGATAACTAGACTGCGATGGTTTGTACCATTTGCTACCTGGACTTAAGGGCCTTAAGCTGTATTTACAGCTTCTTACTACTCTACTCTATCCCCTGGCATGGGTTTTCTGGTAATACAGACAGCAGGAGGAGGGGCCTGAGCAGATGAGATGCAATCACTGCTCAAAAGACACGGAATGGTGACACCTGACTGATTATACATGAATAAAACATGCCTGAGGACCTTCCTAGTTCCCTTTCATGTGCACACAGCATGGTATGTAATGTCAAAACCCTGGCTTGAGAGCTGGTCCACTGCTTCCCAATAGTCAAAACTCTAGTACTGGCCTTAAGATTTAGCTTTTCACACGTGGATGTGAAGTCCAAACGTACTTACGAACTTTGGGAACTAGCTCTGTAGACACAGCCCTTGTTAACAGCAGCACTTAAAAACTAGTCACCTTCAGTTGTCACACACCATTGCAGCTGTCAAACACCAGGATTTAAAAAGAAAAAGAAAGTAATGTTTACCAGTAGTTAAAGGTGACCACTGGTTGCTTTGGAATCCGAAATCCTTCTTCACGAAACAGATACTCTGTGTAGGAACAGATGCTCCTCACTTACCTGCTAAGCTGTCAGTCCCGTTCTGGATGCTAGGTGAGAGAGGACTGTTTCTTGGACCACTGTGCCACCACCTCTCTGCCCATAAGTGCACTAACTGAGAACACCTGCCAGTCTATTCATTAATACGATATGAACACGATGTGGAAGAAATACATAATGGCAGTTTTACTAAGATAATTATTTCATACAAACTGCTCCACATCTCGTGATCCACTGAGGCTGTAACATTTAAAAAGCTCTCCATATCAACAGACATAGTAAGGAGGCCTATTCTAGTAACTTTTAGATTTTAAATAAACAGGCTCTGTGCTGCTACTCATCTACTTGCATTCACAACATCTACACTTCAGGCAGCAAGCTTCCTATTCAGGCTTCTGGAAGCCATGCAGGAAACTAAGGGGAAGACATGTGGACTACCAGGAAGGCACCCATGGTTTCTGACAATGAGAAAAAACCAGCCAGTTATGTGCATAAGTCTTCAAAGAGAAATGACAGTTGCCGTATCTGCTTCAAAGGGCTTTACAGAGCATGCTTTGTTGAGCAAAACTCTCCTGTGCATTTCAGCCACATCAGTTTGTAACTGTGAAAAGGTTCTTCTTGCCACGAACAATCTGAAAGCAAATGCTTTTTTCTCCATTGGGAAGGGCAGAAGAGAAGGAAAAGTCCACTCAAAAATCTCAAGTAGACAAACTTGATGCTACAATTACCTTGTGTGCTGAAGTCCAGGGTCACGTTCCTCTCCCCCACGCTCAATTCGGATACTTGCTGATCGGTACCAGTGACCTAAATGAAAATTGTTTAATGAAACAGCACATTAATCTGCAATTTACCAAAACAAAGTATAGCACTCATGATCTTAAGAACACATAGATAGAAGTAACTACCATAGAAGTTGCTATTCAGATTGAAAGCTATTTAAAGATAGAGTATTTTACAATGTCTTTGGGTCAGGAACAAATGCAGGGGAAAGGAATGTGCTTAAAGCAATTTTTCATTTTTCCAGAATCTACAAGCTAAATTCATCTTGAATTCACAGGCAGCTGGGGCTGTGGGCCAACATTACAAAACTTAATGTCTGCAATGCTTAAAACTAAGCGGTTTATTACAAGCAATCTCTCTTTCTACAGTCTACATTTTTCCATATTATACTTCTTTTCCACCACATTATATCACCCTAAAATAGAGAACAACATAAACCATAAACACAAGCACAAGAGCAGTTTTTTTGCCTTTGGTTATTTGCTGAGATGTTAACACCTAATGTATTTTTAAGTCCTTTAACATCACTGCCAGCCAACGTGGCTGATGCCAGGTGCTTTCCAGCCCACCAGAGATTGTTGAAGGGAGATAATACTAGGACTCACGTTTTTTCTGAAAGGATGGATCTAAGTGGGTTACTACCCTTCACTTTTAAGAATCATGTGAACAAAATACATAGCCAGTCCTGCTGGAAATACTTGATCCATAAAACCACCTGAAATTTAGGAAATTTTCTTTCTACTGATTTTAATAGCCTTTGGATTGGACCTTATTGCCAGTCTCATTAGATTTTTGGCAGTTCTTTGGGATCATGATTATTAAAAAATTGTGCCAATAAATAGCGGGTAAGAATAAATGAGAAAAATATAAAAATCGAAGGGAATGAAATTGATACCATCTTTAGCAGAAAGCATCATATCTGCTTCTGTCTGTAGGGCCACAATTAACTAGTAAAAGCTTATTATGGTTGGTGACAGAGTCTAGAAATAACCATCAGTCACCTCTGTGAAAACCTTTTTGTCAAGAGCTTAATTTGTATCTGGCCTTTGAAAAAATTGAATGTGACACTATTACTCTGAAGCTATTAAGGAAAGAGCTTCCAGTGCACGTGCCAGTGTAGATTAATATATATACATATATATACGCATAACTTACTGTGCTTACTAATATTTTCATATCTATCCATAGCTTATTACAATCAAGTGATCAGGAAACCTTCTCTGATACAAATTTAATTTTTAGAAGTGATTTTAAGTCTAAGTGTTAGCAAATACAACTCTAAACAAAGAATAGTATGAGAAATACTTTAACTCAGCAATAGATGGATAGAGGACTAGGAAGCAAAGGTAAAACCACTCATGTTTTTAAACAATTTTCTTGGAAATTTGTTAAAGTATCTCTCTTTACTGAAGCAGAATATTGCCTCTGTGGTACAAAAAAAAAAAAAAAAATTAAAAAAATGGGTGGCGTCACTCTAAGTTGCAGACCATTCCTGGGAACTAACTGGAAAAGAAGTGTTCTCAAATGCTCTTTGTTGCTGGAGAAAAATCAATCAGACTAACTACATTTTGGAAGAAAAAATATAATGTTTTAAGGGTGTTTGTTTCTTTTTAAAAATCTAGGGGTTCTTTTTAAATCTAGGTAGTTTCACAAATTCTTAAACATCGACAGGAAAATATCTGCTGAATATTTGTGCTGAAACATTTACTGACCTTCTATGTTCTCCCAGTCACCTGGCAGCTGTAGTGTCACTGTCTGGTACCTATAATATGGCCTGATAACTATAAAATGAGGTACATGCAAGGCTGAGGTTTTGGCAAACCTGTACTAATGACAAAACCATCTGTAGCTTTGATCTAGTAAATTTAAAATAATTACATTATTATACAGCATATAAAGCTTCTTAAGCATATACAACTCTTCAGGCTTGTGAGAAAAGCTGGCTTAGCAATTCTTAAAATCACAAAGCTGCATCTCAAAAACAGTACACTATTTTACAGGCAGAAGAAATATAGACATTGTATTTACATGCCTTAATTTCCTATTAAGCACTTCTAGATTATAATGGCTCAATCTTCATGTCCTTTTTTAAAATTATTATTCTCTGCTTAGTTTGCCAAAGGGAACAATTATAGTGTTGACAGAATTTTTTTGACCCAGGAATATGACAACTAAGCTCCTTTGACACAAGCCACAGAGCAGCTATCAGTACTCTGCTTTGACATCTTGTTGGAACAGAGCTCACACAGAACACACCATGGACCCAAGGCGTACTTCAACATGCGCAACAGACAAACTGTTTACCTTGTGGTTAGGTGTTAATATTGAGAGTCCTTCAGCTCACCTAGGGTAAGGACTCATGTTTTACTCAGGGAAACTACAGAGAGGAACTGTTCTCAGCACTCTCCTCCATGCAATGAGATTTGTGTCAGCCTTTCACATCCTTTGGAATTTAGAGGAACACAAAAGCTCATCCACCGCACATTACATCCCTTCTTGGGCTCTGCCTCAATCTCAGAGGCTCCTACAGAGGCTGAAAACCTTGCAGCAACATACTTAAAGACATGGGGCTGCATAAACAAGATAACATTCTTAGAGGTGACTCATTACTATGTGAATAAAATGACATGGAAATTAACAAACAAAAAACCCAACCAAACCCCACAACCAAACCCCAACAATATGACAAATAGATGGGACAAATCTACACACACAGAAACTGCTTCTTGAGACCAAATGGAAGACTGTGAATATTCCCCTCTATATAAAATCTGCCACATAGAGAAAAGCACTCATCACCTTTAAGGTTTATCTCTTAAAAGCCTCATTGATAACTAGCATCCTTAAAAGTGGGAAATCAAGAGATTTCAAGATTTCAGGCATGCAGAAGAAATCATTTTGGTTTCTTCTCCTACTTTTTCCCAGTATTTAGCCATAATTTGCCAAACATACACCATTTAAACTTATCTGATCGATGTGTTAATTTTTCCTTTTCCATCCCTTGTTCTTTCTCCATCTACAAAAATAATTGCTGAATGTATTTTATATGCATTTGAAATTGATTAATCTTCTTGCTTGGGGGAAGGAGAACCATGGTTTTAATTGTAGGAGACAACAATTTTTAGTCAGGGCAGAGTTTTGGTTCACACAGGGACGGCATGCAGTTTCATGCAGGTTCCTGCACAGCCTGGGGTAACAAAACCTTACTGACTTGCACATCCTCAGACATAAAGCTGGTAAAGACAGTCACTAAGCTATCAAAAGGAAAAGGAAAGAAAAACATGCTTTTAACAAGCCCGCACAGACTACAGGTTAGTATAAAACCTTATAAAACACACACTGGTATAATTCACCCAGAACCCTGATCTGTTTGTTCTTGTCTTTTCTATATCCTAGTCAATCCTTTGCATGGAAAACAGTGTGAAAAAACACTTTTTTTTCATAGTCATAAAATGGGAATTCCTAATCAGTACAGATGACAACAGTAATTTTTACTTAGATGCAACCACTTAAATTAGCACTGACATTTGCTGTCCGTGAAATGCATGAAATATTGAGTCTAATTTGATACAATTGAATAAAATTCTAAGGACCTCAATCCATTTAAAAACAAACAAAACCTATCGCTTGATGCTCAGTAAGAGGTTTTACAATTATGACATTATTACATAATGGTTCCCAGAAGCACTTCTGTAGCTAAAGCTCTGCCATGATTTCCATTGCAAAGTCTGCCTTTGAGGGATTTACAAATCTAGTTATTTCAGTTCATATTGTACTGCAGCGTGGTACATATTATATGGGAGCATGTGCATCATGTAAGAATTTAGGACTCCATTTTGTTCCTCTTGTAGACCTAAAACTGTCTTAGACCTTGGCTCCATTCACAGATCGACTGGGACATTGACTGCAAAAAAAAACATTTGGGCTTTTGTAGCAAGGAAAGTATATGGCTACAAAGTCGCCGTGTAGGCTTCAGTTAGCATTGTCGATGTACTTCACATCTGATACTCAGCACCTCTGTTGTTATTTTGCTCCTACAAGCTCTCTGAACTAGCTACTATCAGGCATGTATAAATTCACTCCTGGTAAGAAACCATGTAATTATCACCATTTAGAAATTAAAAATCACCACTCATTTTCACTTGCGATTAGAACAAATGCTTCTGGAATCCAGAACCCAGGTGGCCAGAGATGAATAGGAAAGGCACTGACGCTGACTCCAGATGCCAGAAAAATCAGTCAATACATCTAGTTATTAAAGCTCATGCTCTTCTTGCATGACTTTGCTGCTTTAAATTACATCTTGTTAAATTACAGTTTTGTTACATGCTGGTGCTATTGTGCTGCTGGACGTCGATGCTCATGCAAAGTGTAATCCCACTTACAAGAGTGCTCAAAGTGATTTTGTGCTGAAGTATAAATAGACACTTTTCTAAACCTTACTTAGTACGACATGCGAATTCTTATCACAGATATAATCCTTCTCTTTCCCCCCCCAAACCATATATAATTCATATTGCTTTTGCCAATTTTTTTTTTAATCACTGAAAAATATCAACTCCTCCAGGGCTTGCAGGTTCCTCTGAGTTACTGTAAAGGAAAAAAGATGGAACTTGGATAAAAAATATTTTAGAAAGGAGATGGCCTTGGAAACTCCAATTTTGCTGTTCAGAAAAGAACTTCACTCACAAGCAGTTTATACCAATTCTTTTTGTTATAGCCAAATTAATCAAAGGTAGTGCAATGTTTGGCCTGTTTATTGTTGCAGAGTTGTCAGAAGCTGCTTTGTCAGTCATAGAAGCTGCAAAGTTAGGCGTATCTTGGAGTTTTTTAATTGTATTTTTGTTGGGGACTGTGCATCTCAACGTTCTTTTTTCTCAGACACTTGTCTTGTTAACTGCCTTAGTAACCTTCTTGCGTATAACAGCAGAACTTTAGATAATTTCTTTAGTTTTGTCGTTCCAGTTGAGGTTTCCCTCAATGTGAGAAAAATTACTAGCAGTTATTATTTGGGGAAATGCAAAGTACTCCCCTCTGTCATGTGCATGCAATTTGGCAACCTGAACACACGTATTTCCACAGTACACTATTAATAACTGATAAACGATATCTAGAATGTTTGATTAAATGAGTTTTTATGGAAGCCTGCAAGAAATCAGTTTCTAAAAGCAACTTTAAGTATTTTTCCATCTGTGACAGCTGATTCAATTATCACAAATCACTTCAAGCAAAACTTTGCTCAAATTAGCTTTGGCTGTGCATTGTAATTCTACTTTCAGTTGGGTTGACATTGTACAGTGAAAACTAAGGCAAAAAGTGTAATATAAGTATTTGTCTGAAGTATACTGGATCCCTTCTCAAAGTTCAGAATACAAGTGTTACGCACTCTCAGGAGTAACTGTTTCTGCCACATGGCACAGAAGCTATTAAAACTGTAACAGTCAAAAGTATAAATAATAAAGAATTACTCATTGCTATTTCACAGCAAGAACATGTCCCTACCCTTGTATCATTCAAATCTCTGGTCTGTATGGTTTCTTATCAGCTAATGTAACACTGAAGTAGGAATCAGTTTCTAGCACTTTGGTGCCTGATAGCAGCCTCCTTATGGAGGCTGTATCTTACAACTACTAAAGCATAAATTTCACACCGAGTTCAAGGCATCCTGTCAAGACTAGAGCACACCATTATAAGAACCTAGACTGTTACCGGATGCTCCCAGCACTTTTCCAGAACATGATCTGAAATCTGACATAATTGGGGGACTGCAAATGTGTATTTTTAACTTTGTTAATCTGAGGTTATTTACAGAGAATTTTGTTAGGAATTTTTAAGTACATGTTCTACCTACACATAGAGCTTAAAATGGGAATTTGTAATTATCTTGGCTCAGATCGCACACAGAGCAAAACGGAATGTCCCATTAGGTCTATGCTATATACATACATACACAAACATACAGAAGTTATTAGCCTTACAAGTCACTAGACACACAGTTATTTTTTTCCTTATTAAATCTACACTGTTGTATCGCGCGCCAACTAAAAGTAGTATATTAAAGTGAGGCAAATCCACTATCACCAGTAGTTGGAATAAAAAATATTTTAGAACTGTAGGGGTTTTTAAGAAAATAAACCTGCTTCCTAATCAAGATTTCTTATTACCTATAGAAATTAAGGAGGGTAATTTCATTTTAAACCAGCATTATTCTTTTCAAATAAGGAAAACCACTGTGCTTTGGTGATGCCAAGCCATTCTTCTAGGGTTTTGTTACTGATAATCCAGTATCATACAACTTTTTTAACAGGTAACAGCTGAAATATTACTACTTGTGTAAACACTGGCCCAACCATGCACAAGACCATAAGGAGAATACACATTAAGTAAAATTTGTTAAAGCTTTTGAAAGAAATGATCTGAAAAATATGTTTAGAGAATATAAATATGTACTAATGGTTGTTCCCCCAAAGTACCATTAACTCCTAAATTATTTTAGATCATTGAATTTATCTAAAATTGTTTCGCATCATGACACTTTGAAGACTATGTAAAGAATTGCCTTTGGCTTTCCTTACCTGACTGGCAGGCGTCTCTCCAATCACTGCCTCATAAGGAGGGGGAAGCTCAGTTGGATACAACATTCCTGGGCTGTTAATGGTTACTTCATACAAAGCACTGAACGGGGAATGAGGAAAGTCCAAATGGAGACCTCTGATTAAAAACACAAACATGCAAACTTAATTATTAAGAAATTGCTTTGGATTTATTTGGTGTACTACTACCTACACCAGAGTGATGTAGAGCATTCTCTGAATTCAGAGCCAATATACTAGAAAGAATTATATTGAAGAAATGTATCAGACAACCAAAAAGGAAGCCCTCATTCACTGGGTAGCTTTAAAAATTGTATTTCATTTTGGATGCCAGCCATCTCTGCTAGCCCATTTTGCAGTCATGAATGTTCTTCACTACTCCACAATAATACACATCAACTCCATGGATTTCCTTAGAAAATTAAATCTCATATTCAAGTGTATAATGTTAACACCTGTGAAAGGCTTACCTTTAAGTTGATCTCTGCATTAAGTTCAGATATTGTTAGCCTTGTCTTAGCTAAGTTCAATCACTTCTCTATTACAGCAGTGCTTTAACACAAATATTTCCAGGTGCATTCTAACAAGTTTGCAAAAAAATGTACGTAATCTCTCTGGAAAAGAAGCGCCTAATCTAAATGAAGGACACTACTTGGCTTCGTATTCTTTGAAAGAGCTTCACAGTATGTAGCTCAGAACTATGCAATGACTGGAACTACAGGAAAGAATCACCTCTGTGCCTCTGTCACTGGTGTGCAGGTATATTCTGGTGGGTAGTAGGGTGGAGGCGGTATTGGTGGTATGAACTCATCAAAATCCAAGGTTTGATGCAGGATAGTTCCATGTGGAGTCATGCAGTCAGGATTGGTAGAATGTGGCCTCTGTGGCAGAAACTGAAAATGAAGAAGTCAAGTTCCTTCAGATGGTACAAACATCATCACCAATAAGAAAAATTTTAATAAGAAGTCAGTATTAGCAACCCTGCCCAATACCCTTAATTTCATTAATACCCATACTGAAATGAAAGAGACACTTCTGGAAGCATAAGAATACTTGAGATCAGTGAGGAGTGAGAGACAAATTGCCAAAATATAACACAAGGTTTTAGTAAAGACACAGAGAGGCTTGTGCCTCAAAGTCAGTCACTCTTAGGAAGTACAACATAAGACGTTTGAAATTAAATAGCTTTTCAAGAAATACTTCTACCTTGTAATACAATTTTATTATAGCACTACATAATCAGCTGTATTTTAATAACTGATGAACAACAGATACAACTACTAAAATAACTATTCGCATGTTTTTGTTTCCAATCTGAAGTGCCTTGTGCTTATAGAGAAAAAAGCCCAAATAACCCCACCCTCCAAAAACAACCCAAATAAAACAAACTAGAAGCAAGCTACCACATATTCATTAAATTTTGAATAAGACAGCTACGAATATTCCACCTATTTTTCACTTCCAAAAAAAGGGCCATTCATAACTATTGCTTATTACTTTTGTAACATATAATATTCTTAATAGCCATTTGTGGTTTGGTGATACAGACACCGCACACTTAAATGTGGTATAAATGTTTTAAATACTGGTATGAAAGTAAGAAAAACATTTATTCCATATAAACATCTCAAAACCAAAAAAGAAAAGAACTACACTGAATAATAAAAAGTCGTAATACTGAGAACTACTGTCAACATTTGTGGCAGGAACCTAATCAGCTTCTTAGCATAGTAGTGATATCAAGAAGCCATTCTGATACCTTCGATATCAGCAACACTGTAACCTAACAAGCCTTCTAGAAAAGGCTTAAACTACTTCAAGGTCAAATAGGGACCATTCTGCACCTCACGTGGAACCTAGCCACCTTGATCTGGCTTTATATGGTCCCCATAGATAAAAAAGGATCAAAAGACAATCCAAAACCACAGAAGAATTCTTTCTTCTCAAGGCAAGCTTCTGCTGTCATATCACTTTTCTTGGATCAGTAGATGACTTGGTCTGGCCTTTTAAAACAAGTGAGCTACGAAAATTTGGCTCAAGGCATATTTCTTTTTTTTATACTGGAACAAGAGAATATATGTCTTTGTACTGTTGTCTCATTACACTATTATTTGTTTAAATCCATGACAAAGACTTAAGAAGCAGTGAAATAAAAGGGAAAATGCTTATGTTAGGAGATCCAGGAAATAGAAAGTAAATTACCTTCATTTTTAACGTCACAGTTTTAAATTTTTCATTTTTTCAAATTTAACCTGGTGCAGTTATGCTCAATTTACATTACATAGAAATTATATTGGTCTTTGGTATTTAAAAGGTTGAGTTACATCTTAATTGTGCTAAACACACTCTATGTATGATGTTTCAAAGGTCAAAGCTGTAATAATGCAACACAACAGAGGGTCAGGAGGACCAATTTCAATTGTTTGTGAAAATGAACTATTAGTTGCATACTAATCGGCTATCTAGAGATATTTTCACAAGTAATTATTAAATAATCTCCTCTGCAGAATATGTTATATCATTATATCTTACAGCCAATCAATGATTTGCAGCCACTGTAGTCTATGGATTGTACAGGAACAAAAGGCATGACATCTACTTGATGTACTCTTCACCACACAAAATGTCTGATGCTTTTAAGCACCGTCTTTCATATGAGATGTGATGCTGTTATCCTGAGTACTATCAGACATTTCTACAGGTTTGCCTTACAGAATGCAACTACATTTTTGCAGTCATTCGGTCTAAATTCGCCTGATCTTTCAACAGCCATTTCCCAAACTGTAACATTACGTTACTACTAACGGTTAAACACTTAAATATCTGCCTTAAGTGATACAATCATCAGCAATCATCAGTCTGCTACCATCCCAAATACACTGAAGAATCTTTTAGGAAAAAAGGAAACAAGACAAACTTCAACTTAGTGACTTAAAGACATATAAAAATTTATTGTAACAAAGACAAGTATCTGTATACTTTGGCTCATGCTTTGTATCCTACTTGATCCCACCCAACTCAGGACTATGCTGATTTTCCTAGTAGAGTTGATAATTTGGGTCATTTTTACAGTCTGGAAACTAAACAACCTTCTTTTACAACTTTCCTTAGCTTCTCCCAGGCTATTTCCATATACTGCGAAGGAACCCAAGCTTTGGTTTGCACCAGAGAACATGTAGCTCCATCCCTTCAGTTCTCGAGTTCTCTAGACCCTGTTTCATTCAGCCATATATAGGGAGCAATACTTTTAAACACTCCTCAGAACAAGGCAATTAAACACACAGGACTTTTACAGTGAGTGAACTATCAGCGTACATTTTGTGGGATGTGACAGAAGGGAAAGGTTTTAGATAGGGTAGAAGAGCCTGTGGTTCAAGAAGGAAAGGACCTAATGTTTAGATGCAATTCGGTTTACCAGTAGAATCATTTGCATCCCATTCAAGAACGTTTACTGTGAATACAAATCATGGCAATGAATTCCGTGTGACCAACGCTGAAAATGAGTGGCAAAACGGACATGAAAGATGCACGTATTTGGGGGTGTGTGTTTACAAACAACAGTTTACCTGTGTGATATCATCCTGCTGGAAGGCACAGAAATTAAATTGAAAAAGGCTGTAAGAGGGACACTAGCAGGTAATGAAACAATAGCAAATATAAGGGATTATCACAAAGAACAGGCATCTTTGAGAAAACAATCACAAAGATATTAAGTGGGAATTAAATCATATCTTATTCCATACTACCCTATCTACTAATCTCTACTAGCCTGCAAAAGTATATTCTTCCTACAGTAAAATGTAATTTTAAAATCTTTAATGGTTAGTCTCAAATGGTGAAGGCTGGCAGGGGCTCAGCAAAGACTTAAATACAAAGTCCATAGGTAAGAGAAAGCGAGAAAACACAAACAGCTGACAAAGCTGGACAAGGTGGAGGAACACTGACAAATGCTTTCACAAGGAAACACACATTTTTGGTATTAGAAGACAGTTATTACTAAATAATCAGTATCAAAATGTTGATGGCAAGTAGGATAGACAACACCACGAACTGCCAATCCAAAAATGGGGGTGGCCTGTTTGGTGACAAGTATAAACAAAATCAAATTGCATTCAATGTCATTTCAAAAACTGCAGCTCACGCTATGAAACAACTCATAAAGCAGGTCTCCCAGCCAGGCTTTTGGGATTAAACCAATGGCCACTGCAGAGGCAATGGATAGAAATGGTTGCAGAAAAGGATGAACAGCACCACTGGTAAACACTGTAAATAGCCAACACTGTTAAAAGCTTTGCGTAACTTTATAGCTATCAATAGGTATTTTGAACATAATTACTAGGCATAAATGGATATCCCGTGGCTCTGGAAATCCCAAATACTCAACCATTTCTCTTGACCACCTGGAGCCATTGGATGCTGGGAGCTTTCAGAAATCCAAAAGGCAATGAAATACAGATCTAGAATTCATGCTCTTTTAGGAAAGAGTCAACCTTATGTTTGAAGCTTGGCATTCAAACTATTATACACAGGCAGGTTTTTTCTCATCCTTGGACTAACGATGGCCTTACTTTAGTCTGTGGAATGTGTCTGATACCTAACAGGCATTATACATAGATCAGTGCGTGTGCTAAATGGATGTGCAACACAATGCACACATTGCACACAGAATTTCGCGTGTTTTAATTGGGCATGCCTACCTGACAGAGTTGAACAGCCTGATTGAAACAGCCCTCACCATTATTTCATACTGAGGACTATTTGATTTGTTATTTGGTTTGAAGTTACAAGGGAAGAATAAAACAAGCTATCTGGTTGCAGCAGGGTAAACAAGGAAGCTGTACAACGCTCTGGGTTTGTACCCACTTCTTGGACGTGAATTCAATACAGGAGTTAGCCATGGCACCAGCAGGAAGTTGTTAGCAAGAAGAGAATGAGACACAGAAACGTCAGAAGCACACCACTTCCAGTGGGAGCGAGGAGATAAAAGTTTTCTGAAAATGCAGTTATGCTCAAGTCCATGCACCGAAGTACTGAGAACTCCACACAGCCAGTGGTGTAGGGCTGGATGCCAGCGACCTTCTCAGGAAGCTTAGAACCTGTAGCGAGACACATATGCTGTCACTTCCCAGTGAAGGCGGCAGTGCTTTGTAGAACAACAGAACTCTTCTCTCAGTTTTTCACTCTTCAAGGTGAAAAAACCACCTTTAGATAGATATGAATAAGATTGTAAAACTCACTTTCCTTTTTTCCTGTCAGACCACATTTCCAGCTCTTCACTGAGAGGTCATCTAAAAGTTGGTCACTGAAGTGGCCGGAATGATTGGAGTTTATTATTAATGTTCTGATTATTTTGAGTATATTGAAGTAACAGCTGATGGAGGGATCTCAATTAAGGAACTGAAGAAACAGCAAATGAGGACTATAAATGTAAATCTAATTAAACAGTTACCCCATGTGATACAATGCAGCGAGTCCTTCTACCTGAGAGACTAACAACTCTTTATCAGTATTTCCAGGTATGGGACATCCCTACTAAACATCAAAAAAAGGATACCCTCTATTCTACGTGTTCTGCAGCTGATCAGCACTATTGACTCCATGTAAACGACAGTGCTGGGATTCACTGCTTGGCAACTATGACATATCTAAACCACTAATCGCCATACATCAGTACGTGACTAGTGCTCCAAGGGAATCTTCTTATCTAGAGTATTTCTCATATATGCATACAATTACTGCCTTCCATATCACATTTAATAAATTTACTATGTAGCTTTGAAATGAGTCCTTTGGAGACTCCAGGGCTCATTATCCTCATTTCAGTCTCTATATGTCATTTATAAAAATCTCCTAATTCTTGGGAATGGGAAATAAAAAAAATTAATTGCATCTAATTAAATATTGGCATGTTATCAACAGTAAAAGCTCTTTGCAATATACATGGGTCTATAATTCTGTCTTCAATTAACTGTCCTCCTCCTGGACAGGTTGAATTTTTCCTTTTCTGAAACACTGGAATCAATACCTCCTGGAGGGAAACGTAGATACTAATCATCTGCAAGAACAGAAAGATCATGGCTGACACTTCTAATTCGACCCTGGTCTTAAAGGCAAATGGCAACACAGAAGATATCTTGATAAGGAAAACACAGATTCACATTTTTCTGCTCTATTGTTTCCATTTGCTGCTCCTATAACCATCACAAGCCATTAGCTCTGTAGTCTCAGAGGGACTAGTCTGTGACACTACATCTTTCTTGAAGTACTGACCATATTTTAAATAGTGGTAAATATGAAATAGTCTTATTCTACCAAGAAAATGTGAAATGGAAAATGGTACATTTTCCAAAAATGTCAAAAGCTTGCCTACACCAGAGGTTTCTATGTTACCTTTTTATTTGTGGTGGGGTGAGGGGAATATTTATCCAACCACAGGATGGTTTAGGATGTTTCTACGGATGTACATCATTTGCAGTGCGTATTTCTACAAAGGACTGTCAGCTGGGCTTCACAATACCTTTAAGTGAGCTTTGTGTCAAAAAAATGCAATATTTAATATTGTTAACTATTGTTAATTATTATCAATAATATTTTTATATAATTAGGTTAAATAATAAAAACTGTGTAATAATTCAGATCAGTTCTCACTTAATGTGAAGCTTCATCCTGAAGTTTTTTATTACTATTTCACAGGGATAAGGGGTTAAAACAATGCCAGCAAGATATTATCCTCATGCAGGGGTGCTTTATTTGAGGTGTTTGAATAAACAACTACAGCCTATTAAGTTAATGACATGCTGAATTATCATTATGGCTGATGAAAACAGTAATTAAATGTTACAGCTTGCATGTGTCACCATTACCTTATTTCCTTTAGAAAGTAACAGATTGTTTTAGATTTGACATAACATGAAGAACAGTTACTAACAGTGATGGTGATAAAATCAGAATACACTGAATGGTACTTCTAGAATAAGTACTGTATACACGTATTTGGAGTGGAAGAAGGACTGGAATAGGTGTACTTCATGCTTTTATCTGGGCCACAGTGGGGGTAAATTCTATTTCTTTGTTTAATTCAGGCAGCTACCTTTGGAAGAAAACAGAGTGAATTGTTGCAGTAGCCATTCATCAGACAAGATGCAAGCTGAATGAACAAATGAAATAACATGGAAGTGACAGCCTGGTTATTAAGAGATGTTTCTTCACATTACAGAGCCTTGATATAATCTGATTTGATTCACATTTATCTGCTGGAAGGATGTGTACACAGAAAAACAAATCCGGGAAGCCCTGTAATAGAGTGCAGCCTTAAACTGTCCAGTGAAACACATCACAAATGCTATTTCAGTCTTTAATTATGGTATCACTTACTCTTGCAGCTTTAGTGCCACCGGTAAATTATTTTTTTCTCCTGAGCAACTGTGTATACTTAACAGGGTGAGAAAGATTAAAGGGAGGTAAAAAATTTGGGGTACTTTCTGAAACAGTAAACTCAAAGAAAGAACAACCTAGGAAAATATGTTTTCCCGTCCCATACGACAGCACAAAAGTAAAAACTAAAGCAAATTGAAATATAATGCAATAAAAATAGTTTGCAGTATTTTTTCCTTAATGCTTGAAACCGAATGTTTTTTTGGTGGGATTACTTTTAATAAAAAGCTCCCCTTCGAACTTATTGGAAAATTTAAGCTGTGCTTACTGCTGGGGAGCTTGTGTTTATATTTTTAGGGCATTTTTACTAAAAGATAGGTACATCAGAAGGCAGCAGTTTCCAATAAAATACTGTCAGCTTGCTTTTACAAATCAGATACTGCATGCAAAAGTTAGCAAGAAAGTGGATACCCATGAAATATTGTTGCAGATTTTCTTGAGTCTGTATATCAGCTCAGTGTCGCTAGGCAATAAAGCCTGAAGCACACAGAACAGCTTCACACCAGCAGAAAACTTGAAAATATTTTGAAATTTGAAAAAAATTACCATCCTGATTAATTTCTGAGACAAGAACACTAACACAGCACATGAATCACAAAACTGATGACCTAATGAGAACCTAATGATGTCCGAGGAGGACCTTTCCTATTGCACAGTGCTTTTGCTGGCTAGGACTTGTATTTTTATGACTCCTCTTCCTATAGAAGAGCCTACATAGCTCTTGAATACTGTAACAACAGAGTAAAAGAATCAGCACGATAATTAAAATCTAAGAGGAGTGGGTATGTCTTGCTGCTGCTATCTTAAACTTCCAGGATGGTACAAGCCTGCTAAGAGGAGATGCATACCTCAGTGAAAAGGAAAAGGAAAAAGCGCAAATCAAGCATTAACATGGAAGCAAGAAGGAAGTAAATCAGATTTCTGGGTGCAGTGGAGCAAAAAGGAACTGCAGATTGTGGGACAACAGACTGAAAATAGTGAAAGAAAAAGAAATCTTCAGGTCAGAGTTCAGCTAGTCTAAGTCAGCGTAGCCCCAGGGAAGTTACGCTCACTTAGGCCTGGTAGGAATCTGGCTCAGCAACCTGAAAAAAGAAAAGGAAAAACTTAAGAACAAACAAGACTGGGATTGAGCAGAAAGAAAGATGTAGTTTTCTTCTGTGGGGAGGTAAGAAAATTCTCGTCAATGGAGCTGAAAGGGTGGGAGAACAGACGACTGAGCAGGAAGACAGAAAGCTGGAAGCACAAAGCACAGGAAGCAAAAAGAAATGGACATAATGACAGCATGGCCAGGTGGTAAAGAAAGAATTTTAGGGAAGTGAAGAATGAAGTGGCACCAGGAAAAATTATGTGCTTTTAAGGTATTTGACTTCCTATTGAAATTACTGCTTCTTGCACATGCCTGTCAGAAGCACTTTAATACTGTTCTTGGTTCATTGTCATCTACACATTTTTATTCCTCTTACACTGCTAAATACCATAAAATTAAGTGTAAGTTAAGATTCCTGGAATATATATGGTTACACTTCTAGATCACTGCTACCATTGGTACGCTAGACAGACAGATCTTTCCAGGTGTGATGATCACATCATCTCTCTGTCATCACTGCAAGGTGAAAAAGATCATTACTCAATGGGCATTCTTGCAACAACCATCAGGAGGGGGGTTAGAGAAGGAGTGTATGAAAAGAAAGAGTACCCACAGTATGATAAAAATCCTTTAACATGTAAAATAGAATGTGTCATCAGCTAAAATTATTATTTTTGTCAATTCTGTTTGACATCCAAAACAAAGTTATATAATAAGCACTGTTTACAAGCCTCTACAAGCACGCACAAAATGGATAGAGTGTTATATGAAAAAATGCATTTATGTACCATTTGTAGGCATTATGTAGACATATGTGCCTAACACATTATATCTGATACCATGTGAAGTAAACACCAGGTCGCAGACTGAAGATAATCTTTAAGAACCCAGTGATAGGAACACTTGTCTAGAAAGGACAGCCTTACAGTAATTCATGCACTTGAACTCAATTCAATATCCATAGCAGCTAGTGTATTTTTATTTATTTATTTTTAAATCAACCACATGCCTGCACGGCAGGTTATACAACATTTCGCTGTTGTGTAAATGGTTTGCAGCTAACTTGCTGGGCCAGTATTCTATCTATGCAAACTTAAAATATGAGACAAGTGGTATTAGGTTTGTGTGCTTGCCCTCTCCTATTAAACAGAGGACGATTGCCTAGATTAGCCAGTAATAGAGTCGGGTTGGAAACAGTATACCTGGCCTGCAAAATAGAAAGGATTTTAATTTTTGCTTTTTTGTTTTGACATTACATTTAAACCTTGAGAATTGCAGCGCTCATTTGGGATAGGAAAGCTGTCTTTGTCCAACCAAAACAAGACAGTATCCTGTAATGCAGCTGGTTATGCAGAAGACTAATGATCCTTTCCCCTCTTGTTTTAAACACAAGTGCTACTCTGAAGCTCAACATGTTTTCCTTATGAAAACACTGTTATGGACACAGGGCTGTGAAAAGTTCCGGTTTTGATCTCGTTGTTCTCATACTCCGTAGTCGTCATAGCAGAAAAGTAGCGAAAAACAGTATCTCAAAGCTAAGTAATTGCTCTGGATAGTGTGGACACTGAAGATAATAAACATGCAATGACAACATTTGACATGCATATATAACTGAATCTTGTTAATAACCTTGTTAACAAAAATAACACACTCCCAGTTGCAAAATCCTGATTATAACTCTCTAATACAACATGTAAACATTTTAAACACAGCAGCTATTCCTACTGCATACATCTGTATGCTATATTTATATAGATGCATGCAGGTAAAAAAAATACACACATGTTCTAACACTACACAAAGACACACAAATAGTTTATAAGCAAAGAGTAGGTACAAATGAGTATACACAGATAAGGACAATGTGTTACGTTGGACAATATCCTATGTTGTCAGTGAAACATACTCACCATTTGCAGAAGATCAGAAGAAACCATCTGCATGCAACACATTGCTGTTGCCAAAGCACAGACAATGGTGGAGATGATATTGAGAGCGCACACACTGAACAACAGGTCCTGTGAAAAGACATGCATCAGAATACCATCTCTTATCTGAGGGACACAAAGGACAGGAAGTATTTTTAGCAATTTGATAATAAACACTGTCAACTGCTATCAATTGATATGGTCCAATTAACTGTGTAGAACCCATTCAGCTCGTCATAATTTTTTTAAAGCAGTCTGCAAAGGGACAATTACAGAAACAAACATCTTCCTTTCCCCATTTCTCACAATACATTCGTCGTTAGAGATTTCCTCAGAAATACTGATATTTCAAGTTTTCCAGTTCCCTGAAAGAAAAGACAAATTACTGCTTTCACAGTGGACTCCAAGCTACAGCTATCACAAGAAACACGCTTCCAATTATAAAACAAAAAACCAAAAGCCCATAGAAATTACATTGCTTTCAGTAGTTGAAATCTGCAACTTAGGGCTGTGTGTTAAAAGATTCAATGGAAACTCTAGTATGAAACAGAGAATTTTATCCTGTATTAGACACTCTATGCACTTGAAACATTTTAAATATGAGAGAAAAGCAGTGATCACATGCAGGCATTTTGCCTTGTGCTGATGAAATAAATACATATGGACACATTGTTTTCAAAAGAAAACCCCAAAACATTTAAAATAGAATGTATTTGTTTACTATGTAGAATAAAAGAAATACTTGAATTAAAACTGAAACATTTTTATAGCAAAGTTATAATTAAAAAAAGGCATCCATCTCTTCCAATCACTGGATTTTTATTTACTTTCCCAACAGCCAGTGAAAAGGAACACTGATTTAGCATGCTGGCAACATTTCAAAACTACTACAATCCTTCTACAGCAATTGCATACCTGTTGTACTTGTGACAATTATGTGGCTTAGTATTCTGAACAGCCAGTAAAAGTACTTGAGAAAAAGCATCACAGAGAACATATGAAAAACAAAATCAAAATTGTTAATACATCATGAGTAAAAACACTCACTATGTAAAGAACATTCTGTAGGACCTAAGTTTGAAAGAATTTTTCAGTCACTGCCAGTGCATAAAACACTTCCATACTATAAAATCAATGCATTGCTTGCTTTGTTTTTTTCCAATAGTACTAAGAAAAGTGATACGAAGGTGTGGATTTATTCCTGCTCCTGTAATTGCATGTTCAAGTGATCTTCATTTGAAGATGGAAATGCCAGCCATGGAAACCAGGCAGACATTAAATGGGTCAACACGTCCTAGTCATTTAATAGCTTACACTGAGCCAGATTTGCTCTTGCTGATCTGGTCAGTAGTTTTCTGTCTTCTGGGCCAGCCCTTCAGCCAGGGGAATAACGAACCAACAGCAAAATACCAGAAGGGCCAACCTCTACCTCACATACAGAAGGTGATCTGGAGAACTCATTCAAATACAAAGTCATATAGACCCACTTAGAGCATTCAAATAGAGGTAAACAGGCAAGTAAACCCCTAGAGATGCAATTAGTTAACAGTGGCGCAAGAAGAGACTGAGATCCTGCCTGTTCTGCTTTCCATAGGTAAACCTTGGTAAAGAACACCAAGGGAGAAAAAAGATCTAGGGTAGAAACAGGACGACTTCACCCCGCTGTTCCAATGTTTATCTTTACCTTCCCATCCTTATGTCCATCCCACAGCTGAAAACCATTGCTCCTTTTCTTCCATAGCTTTTGAGAACAGGCTATTAAACAACAGACTTTTACATCTTTAAACTTTATTATCATGCTTGAAGTCTTTTCCTCCTTTAGTGCATGACATATTAACGTCATTTCCTCCCATCCTTGGCTGCGACCAATTTCCTAGGCCTCTGATCATTTTCATTAATTTCATTTGGTTCACCTCAAGTTGGTCCATATTTTTCCTCAAATGCAGAATCCTAAACTGGGCACAACCAAGGCCTTGCAGATGCTGACTATAGCATAAGGATTATTTCTCGTGCTTTACAAGCCATACTCATCCTTATGCATCCTGCAGTGATGACTGACGTTTTTTGCAACAGTACCTCATTGATTTATCTTTCATCCAACGTAATCCCAGATTCTTTCCTGCAGAACTACTACCCTCTTCATCTTGCTACTAGGTAAGGACAGGAGCAATGTCATAAAGACAAAGCTATTTTTATTGGAGAAAAGCCAAAACCAAAACCTCAATCTCAGTTACACTTCTCTCACATTTGTAAAAAATAAGGCATAAATCAAACCCATTTCATACTACGTGGACAGAGAGAGAAAAAAGGATTATTCTTCCCCCCAGTTCCTTCCTCCCACACTCCAAAGCACAGAGTAAAACCAAGTAATGCTTTCCATTTTTAGTTATTTTTCCTTCTCTACCAGTAATTCTAGAAAACCTCTCCAGACAGTGTCGAACCAATTGCTTTAATTTTTATTCATTGCTAACTATTGTGAAACAACAAAGTAAGTTGACTCTGCAAATACCCTGAGCTACAGCAGTGTCCCAGACTGAACACTCACAATGATCATGACTTCTTTGCTGTGGCTGGAGATTTTTCCCTTGCCCCACACGGGCAGCTGAACTCAGTTTACTATCCAGCATTACGTTTGTTATGTAGGGCAGGGATTACTGACCACAGTAACAATGGCCCTCTTTCCACAGACTCCTTTTCTAGGCTACAGTAGTTAGAGTATTGTTCCCACTGCAATCTTTTCGAAGTCGAAGACACAATTAGAATGTTTCAAATGCAGTGATGCAGAATTTTTATGTATTTCATCAAGTCCAGTAAAGAGCAGATATCTATCAGCCAAAAACATAACAAGACAGCAAAGCTAAACAAATTTGGGAAAGATGTTAAGTTTAAATGTTTAACAGTGAAGGTAGTAACTGAGCAGTGATTATGGTATCCTCACCATTACTAGGTATTTCTTAAAGCAAGACTACTACTTTTTTTTAAAAAAAAACCAAAAACCCCCCCCCCCCAGTCCATTTCAACTCAACCAGGAATCAACCCCCAAACCAATAAACAACCCTGTTCCTCTGCCCAACCCCTTCCACCCCCAAACAAATGTTAATCAGCCTCAGACAGTGTACCATTTTAAGGAATTTCCTCCCTGTGCCCTATAGAACAATAAACTAGGTAATTCATAGGACACTCATTTATTCATTTATGCAGGTTCCAGCTGTAACATGATGACAATTAAGATGTCCTTTAGGAAATGTCTGTGAAAAAGCAGTAACCACAACAGGTACAATCTTAACTCTCCACAGCACCTGGCCACAGACAGCTACATTTACAGGGGTCTAAAGGATAGGGAATCTAGATTAAATACAAAAGCAAGAAGCCTTAGTGACAGACTTTTGGTTGATAACTGCAAGAACTACACTAACCAGAAGACACAACACATGAATCTGTAATGGTGTGAAATACAAGTCTTTGCTCTTCACAAATGGCTGAACCAATCTTCTCCTACATGGTATTTTTCTGGGTATTTTTGCCTTTTTAAGACAAAAATCGGAATCTTCAGCATGTTTATATGATAATTAATGCTCTGATAGGTATAACATACTATGTAGAATTATCCCTCTGCAGGTTATGCATACAATTTCCTTGCTACACATTAACCCACTAATCACAGAGGACACAAATCCCTTTAAGAGTGGAAGCAGCTGTCAGAATTGCCTGGAAGCAAGCCTAGATCAATTCAGATATATTCCCATAGGATCTAGACAGCATTGCGAGCTGCTTCTCTGTAGCCAGTTATTTTCCCAAGTAGGTCCCTTGGTAAACCTCGTAAGATAAATTTGAATACCGATTTATGAAAAAAGCAAGATTTCATGCTTGTAGTATTCCATTTTTATTGCAGCTTAATAATTACGAAATTAATTGTGTCATTACCTACGTAACTGTTTATCACATTTTTCCTCCCTAATAACAGACACCTTTGACTTAAACTGTAGGCCCCCAAAGGATAATTGTGCATTCTCAAATCTTCTTCACACTATCACCCATATGTCTTTCTTAAGAAGAGAATATCTATTTTTTCTTCTTCTAAAATAATAGTTTCCAATAAAAATCTTAAAACCACACATTTACAAAATACACAATCACAAAGCAAAAAGTATACTAAACCTAAACTTTTCCTTTATATCTGTTGGGAGTTTACCCCATCTTCAACAGGGATTGCCTTCTCATAGAAACCCTCCCATACTTCCTATGCTTTCTCCTCCACAATAGTCACAGCCACCTTTATGATCCTCTAAATTCTTGAAACAAGCATACTCTTACATCCCTGAGAGTTCAAAACTGACTCAGAAGGAAACAATGCTTATCGCACAAAATCTGTGGTCTTGTAAAAAGTCTCAGCCGGAGGTCCTCAGAGTGAAAGCAGAGTATAAGATCAAAATGAATGTAATTCTTCAGTCTTACAAAGAGTCTGGAGGACCAAGCTCTTAACCCACCAAAATGTTGAAAGCTACATTAGATGCATTGCACAGAAATGTGGCTGTGTGTGGAACAGAAGATGCAGGCATTGCTATTTAGCCCTTTGTAGAATAGTCATCCCATGTCAACATTTCTCAGAGAGACGGCATTATAAACAACATTGTTTTCAGTGATATTGAGCCCTAAGAACACAGCTGGCAGCAAACTCAAGTAGCTACTAAATTCAGAAAGTAACTTCTATGAAACTGATTCTACCAAGCCAAAATTGTAAGTGGTGTCAGGTACAGCCCTCAGCTCACAAAAATCAAACTGAGAAGCAGAGACTGCCAAGAAAAGAACGTGTGTTGTCCAGGTTAAATGGTGTTGACTGGCTTTTCAACTCCTATTAGTAGGATTCTTATGAAACAAATAATTTGGAAAAAATAGCACAAAGTGCTGTCTCAAACAGAAGGCAGAAACTGTTTGTACCATTTCTGAGATTAAAGATAGTTTAACTACAGAATTCCATGAAATGTTAGTGAGAGAACTCTGGACATCAACAGAGGCAAAAATTACTGTATGAGCTTTATAACCTTAAAAAGGAGGCTAAATGAACCTATTTATGTCCTATTGAGGGGGTG